CTTGTGGAAATATCACCAATTATTAATTAAAGTATCCTCTTTTTAATGCAAAAAGCCGTTTTGAAAAATCACTTTTAGTTCTTGAGAAATAAATTTTTGAAATAATCGATTTTGCAATTTTCGCCGATTAAGTTTTAAAAATTCGTGTAAAATCCATTTCTTGGAATATGAGTATGAAAATTTCCCAAAGTGTTAATAAAAGTGTCCTCTTTCCAATGTACCAACCCGTCTTGAAAAATAACTTTTAGTTCTTGAGAAATAAATTTTTGAAAAAATTTTCCGTTCCATCACTACTTATTATTAGAAAAAAATTGATTTCAAAAAATATATAACTTACCTTTTTCTCTTCGATTTTCTTCTTTTCAATTATTTCTTCTTTTTTCTTTTCTTCGACAATTTCTTTCTTTTCAACCTTCTGCAAAACAATTTTGGGACAAAACAAATTATGCGGTATTATTTTTTTTTGTTTATATTTTGTAGTGTTAATTTGTAAAAGTAAATATTAAAATATATTTTTGTTACCTTTGGCTTTTTAACTTTTTCCTCTTCCTCAATAATTTCCTATTAAAAAAATTTTTTTGATTTAGTGTTTATTGTTGGTGTTTATAGTAATGATGTGTAAGTGTACCTTTTTAGTTTCTTCAATAAGTTCTGGTTCGGATTCAACCTCCTCAACCTTTGTTAATAACATCAATGGTTAGTATATTTTTAAAAAATTTTGTGAAAATACAAAGTTGAAAAACGTCTCGAATACTGAAATACTTCGGATTGTTCGCATACACAAAGCCTAAATTTAGACCAAGATATATCCGAAGCTTTACCTTGTAAACGGTGAAAAATGTAAACATATAAAATTTTATCGCCGTAACGTAAACGTTTAGAAGAACTTTGATTCTGCGAACGTTCGTTCGATCGAATCGGAAATAGATGATCGAGACTTACCGAAAAACTATATCCAAAGTTGCAAAAACAAATTTTGAAAAAATTTTGTTACTAATTTTTTTAATTACAACATTAAAAGAAATTTCAAAATTTTTCTTACCTTTTCTTCCTCCTCCTTCTTTTTCTCCTTCTTCTCAACAACCGTTAATGTAGCGATGGATTCATCCTCGCCAAATTCGTTCTTAGCAACAATCTTGTAGGTTGCAGCGTGAGATATTTTGCACTTACTAATAGTCAATCTGGCAACTGAGCCATCGAAAGAGATCGAAACATCAGATGATTCTCGAATAATCGTGGTGTTTTTGTACCATGTTATAACAACCGTTTTATCGGTAACTTTCAAAGTTGATATAAAATCAACCGTTTTACCTTCTTCGGTAGTCTAAAAAATCATTCCATAACAAAAAATTAAAAAAAAATGATTTTAATACTTACCACATTAGTTAATTGTGTTAATTTTGGTTTATCTCCTTTCGGTTTTTCTTCAGGTGGAAGATCGGTTACTTCAACCGTTTGTGAAGTAGCCTCGCCCTTTTCATTGCGAGCGACAAGTTTGTACATGCCTTTATCGGATTTCTCGATTTCACAAATTTCGAGTTTAACCGCGAATTCACCCTGAATGTTTAAAAAAAATTATTAAAAAGTCACTCCAATTTCGAAATGAAATCTTACATCTTTAACTTGTTCAACTTGGACTTTGTGTCTAGTGTCTTCTTTGACGGCCGTCGATTCTTTAAACCAAGTGCAATCAGGCGCGAACTTGCTAAGCACTTTACATTCAACGATAACTGTGCGTTTTTTAACGATTTTGATAACTTTCGGTTTTTCTTTAATGACGGGAATGATTTCGATGTTAAGTGTGAGATTCGCGTTGAGTTCTCCTAAAGTGTTTTTGATGTTGCATTTGTAAAGACCTGAGTCTTCGGTATCGGGATCTTTGAGTTCGAGTTTTATGTAATAAATCTCTTCTTCGATTTTTTCGATGACTATTTTTATTTTGCTGGATTCTTTTACTACTTGACCTTCTCGGTACCAGACTATCGTTGGTTTGGGATTAGCACGAACCTAGATTTTAAAATTTTTTTTTTTGACATTAATTTTATTAGGTTTTAAAAATAAAAAATTGAAAAATTTATATAGTATACAGTATGTCCACGAAAAATCTTGATAAAAATTTTGCTAGTTCAACATTTAACATATTTTATACGCGGTGTTCAGAAAATTCAAAAAAACTTTAAATGTTACAAGAGTAAAGTGCATTTATTTGAGAAGATATTGGAAGAATTTGGGTATGATTATGGATAACAGTTTTTGCTATAAGAAGCATGTCTCCAACTGTATATCCAGGGCTTATTATCATCTGAGGATGTTGTTTCCTCATCGACACTACCTTGGTATTCATCTGAAAAAGATGTGCGAAACCTCTGTTTTGACTCAATTCATAACACGCATTCAACGAGTACAAAACTCATGTCTTCGGTATATATATGGAATTAGAAAATATAACAGAATATCTTATAAACTGAAGTATGCGGGGTGGCTAAATATGTATCATCGTAGGAAAGTGCAGTGTTTGTGCCTATACCATAAAATTATAAACTATAAGGAACCACAGTATCTCTACCAACTGATAACTTTCCGAAATGATGTTCACCGAATAAATTCACGATTTCGCGGAAGACTGTCGCCACCCTTCTATCGTTTGTCTTTATTTCAGAGGTCATACATATTTCAAATAACTTCGAAATATAATGAGGTGGACGATTATTGCAAGGGGTTCTCACTAGGAAGGTTTAAATTTACACAGAAAAATTCTTGTTTTCTTGAATAATGTCTACATGGGGGCAAACGCTGATCTGACATGTTTTGCAACCTTGTTGTTGTATCTAGCTCTTGCTTTGTAATTTTTGGCCGAGTCATGTTTTTCTTTTTTTGTTTCTTAGGTTAGTTAGAGCAGTATCTGTGTCTTTTGTATGTTTTTTTTTATACAATTAAGCTTATTTTCTAATAAAGGCATTTATTATTATTTGGAAATAAGTTACTAGGAAAAATTGTTCAAAAGTAAAACTACCTACTTTGCCTACTTTTATTCATTTGTGATCATTTTTGTACTAGTAGGCATTGATAGTGACAAGCTTTATTGACACTTCGCTTTTATACTTTATTAGCCGTAGTATTATCAGCTTAAAATGCTTACTTTACAGCAAAAAATTTACTTGGTGCAATGTTATAGGAAAGGCGAAAAATGTCATCGTCGAGTTAGTGTGTACGTTTCTGAGACTACTTGCCGTAAAAAATTTTGAAGTTTTTAAGCACTGGGTCATTGTTGCGAATACCCAGAGAAAAGAAGAGATACGATGAAAATGATACAAGCACTTTGTTGGTATTATATTCAGTAGAGCAACACCCGACATTATCATAAAGAAGAAGAGCTGAAAATGTCCAATTTGTTAAAAAGTCGCAAATTCAGAAGATATTAAAACACAACAAGATACATCCATACAAGCCAGTTCTTAATCATGTTTTGGAAGTCGGCAATGCATTGATGATTTACACCGTATATCGGATAATGTGATGCGTAGAGTTCATGATTGGACTGTGGCAAATGAACTTTCTCTTAATAACTCTAAAACGATGCATATGTCACTTGGCCTTAGAGATCTTCCCCCCGGAATCCCAGCGGCACTAAATTTTTAGGCATAATTGTAACTGCTCCAAAATTAAGTTTTGACGAGCATGCTCAAGTTGTCGGGGGTTCCTCCTGAAACTGCGAGAATGGCATACTATGTTTTAGTCCACTCCAAATACTCCAGCTAGTAGTCATATTTTCAAGCTCCAGCGTAGAGCTATCCGTGTGCTTGGTGGGGTCGGTTTTATGGAAAACTGCAAGCCTCTCTTCAAGAGGCTAAACATTTTAACTATTCCATCAAAATTTATATTGGAAGCGATTTTATATGCCGATAAGAATGATATCTCTTCTAATTTTCATCATTATGACACGAAAGGCAAGCATGATATTCGGACTAATTTTTGCAGATTACAAAAGTCTCAATGGGGCCCGATATATACGTCCCAGCAACTATTTAATCTATATCTAGATATCTTAAAACACAATAAAATGAATTTGAAGCAAAACGTTTGGATTTTTATTTATGGGTTGGCAGTATGGAAAGAGGATTTCATAAGAAAATAATGTTTTCTGATGAATCAACTTTTTCGACCAATGGTGTTGTGGCTTCGCAACATGCACGATATTGGAGTGACTCTAATCCGCATTTTCGAATACCACGGAGGCGTCAGTACTATGGTAAAGTAAATGTGTCTTCTTCGACACTACTTGTAATGCGAATAGTTATTCAGCTATGTTAAGAAATTTCCTCGACGGTGAATTAGACAATCTTCCATTAGAATACAGTCGTTTATTTTATTTTCAACAAGATTAGACACTGTTAGACTACTGGATTAGGAGACAAGGACCAGTTCAGTATCCTCCTAGGAGTCCAGATTTCACATTAATGGATTTTTTCATATGGGTCCCATTGGAACAACAAATTGTTTATCGCACACCTCAAATAAATGCCACTACTGATCAATTAAAGGATGCAATTAGAGATGCCGTTGCTTCAATATCTTTACATGAGGTTAGAAAAAGTTGATGAATTACTTGTTCGTTTAAAGGTATGTGCCCAACAGGGTGGTAGTGTGTTTGAGTAAATAACTTGTGCATTGTTAATTTGGAATTAGTTAATTGATATTAAAATAAATTTAAAGATCACAAATAAATAAAAGTAGGCCGATTGTTTCGAAAAGCTATGTTCTATCCCAATCTTACTCTAAGAACTAGCAAAATTTTTTATCAAGATTAACTTTTTTTGATAAAATTAAAAATAAAAAGGTTTTTCCTATTCAACACCTTTTCCGTGGACATACTGCACATGTTTCAAAACTATTGTTTCATCTTCATTACCTATTATTGGAAAAAAAGATTAACAAAAACCGTTAAACGGATAAAAATAAAAAATAAAAACGGTAAAATACAGTGAAAGTATCGGAATTAAAAAGGGGGGGAAAACTTACATAAATTATTTTACAATTTGATGGAATATTAAGGTTTATAAGGATTAAGTATGAATTTATATCGAAGCTATTCTTCTTAAACATAAACTTATGTTATGGGTTATGGGAGTGAACGAAATATATTATAATAACGATACACGTACCGAAGCCGAAAATCAAAAAAACAACTTAATAAGGACCAATTACATTCTTTAACTAAAAAACATGACTAAAATTTCTCATTTACTCCTGAATAATAAACATAAATTCCAATTTAATTTACTCAACGGTATTTACAAAATATCCTGTAATGATTGCAATAAAATATATATTGGTCAAACAGGTAGAAATGTACTAATTCGTTTTAAAAAACATATCAAAGACTGCTATTTTCAAACACTTTTTAGAAACTAATCATAAAATAAGCCTTAAAAACATAAAATTAATACATCACCAACCTAAATCGTTAAATCTAAACTTGCTAGAATAATATGAAATCTCGAAACAATCGAAAAATAATTCCGATAATTTATTAAACGAATTTTTAGAAAACTAATTCACCCTTTTGTACCGCAAATTTATATGATTGTTTTTTGTTTTTCGGCTTCGGTACGTGTATCGTTATTATAAGAAATACATTATAATTCACACCCATAACGCAGAATAACCAGAAATCGTCGATTCGTTTGATGTTGGAGGCTCGATTTAAAATTCGCCATCTTATCACGAGTTACAAAAAGCACAGAATCAAGGTTCGTTGAGTAAACATACTTTATAATGTTATCCAACTCTTTATGAACGTATCCGTCTTTAGAGACGTGCAATTCTAGTTCTAGATCGATATCTTCGTAACCGCTCGATGGAAAAAATTGCGGTAAAGTTTATTGTAATCAGTGAACATTTCTGCGTATCACATGTTAATTTGGAAATTTTCGGGTCCGCGGTTTTTCTTTTATAGCGCATGTTTTATTTTTTCAATATTCCATATAGTTTCGCGGTTTAGCAGGATGCGGTTATTTCGAAAACGACCTGGCGGATTTCAACGCGGTTTTTACCAATATATGTCAAATAATGTCGGTTGTCGAATTTCCTAGACAGTACGTCGCGCCTTTATCTTACCTATATAAAGAAATAAGGCGCGACGTCCTATCTGGGACGCACCATCTGTTCCGATTGGAAGGAACTCCCGTCACCCCGCAGAGCTTATTTCAGTTTTTCTTTAATAACTGATAACGGAATCCGACAACAGACATAATTTGACATATTTTGGTCAAATCCGCGAGGAAATCCACCCAGCCGTTTCGACATAACAGCGTCTTACTAAACCGCGATTTTCCGCGAATCTGTATGGAATATCGAAAAAATAAAATATGCCACTCATTAAGAACACATCAGGTTACCACCTGTTTAAAATTCAAATTTTTTCGTATGATAGTTTTCGAGAAAAAAAATCGCAAAGTTGACAAAGTTGTCGATACCGTAAAAAATCGGGTACTTTTTTCATTTAACTCGGGATAAAAAGAAAACCGTGGATCCGAACATTTTCAAATTAACATATGTTACGTAGAAATGTTCAGTGATTACAACAAAGTTTATCGCAATTTCTTTTATCGAACGGTTGCGAAGATATCGATCTCTAAAATGAGGGGCCTTGATGTTTTGCACGGATAGTAGTGTAAAACTAGAACTAACACTATACCTAGAATTAGAACTAGAATCATTCGGGTTTAGCCGTCTTTAGAGACGTGCGGCTAAACCCAAATGATTCTAGTTCTAGGTATAGTGTTAATTCTACATAGTAACAGTGCTAGTATAAAACTCGAAACTTTCTAATTCAGGTCTAGTGTTAGTTCTAGTTTTAATTGTTATGCAGTGCTAGACCTAGAACTAGAATCATTCGGGTTTAGCCGTCTTTAGAGACGTGTGGCTAAACCCAAATGATTCTAGTTCTAGGTCTAGTGTTATATATAATATAGTGTTATTTTTATTGAAGTAGTTGAAAGGTTAAATATACGTATTAGAAAAGTACGTATATTAGATTATATAGTAGAACTAGAATTATTTGGAAGTGACACTAGCGGTATTCTGCCAAATCTTTACCACCAATAGCAACATACCTTGGCCACTCGCTGCCACTGTCACTTCTGGTTATTCTTTGCCCATAACATAAGTTATTTTTCCAAATTTTAAAGTTAATTATTTGATGTTTTTTATAGAAAATATTTTATGTGTAAGAAGAATAGCTTCAATATAAATTTATACTTAATCCCCCCTTTTTAATTCCGATACTTTCACTGTATTTTACCAATAATTTTCTAATTGTTAATTTTTTTCCAATAATAGGTACTGAAGATGGAACAATAGTTTCGAAACATGTATACTATACAGGGTGTGTTTCATGAGGAATGGTACATACATTAATATGTTATAGATTTGTTCATTTTAAGCAGAAAAGTTCCTATGAACATGTGCTTTATGAAGCACGGCTTTTGTGAAACAGTCATTTGTCAATGTTTGACATTTAACATTATTATGTCGACTAAGTTGTTGATAATGCTACATATTGACTCATGCAGAACATGCTGATATGGTGTTTTGTTACGATTTCTGCAATCGAAATGCTCGTGATGACTATAGGAGAGATTCCAGATTGCATGAAACCGGTTCTGCTCCAAGAACAAGTATTGAATACTCAATGTGCAGGTGTGCAAAGTCTGAATGAAGTTGAACAAATTCTTCAATCGGTAGAACGCAGCCCATCTACCAGTACAAGAAGACTTTCTAGATTCCATGTTCAACCAGTACAATACCTTGAACCAGCAAACTCTGCCAGGAGATTAAAATTTCGTGGATGGGTAATATCTAACATTCACTCGGAATAGAATCAAAAATAGTCGAAATGATCACCGTTGGTCTGAGGATAATCTGCATGTCAGTGTTGAAACAAATTTTCAGGTAAAATTCTCGGTGAATGTATGGTGTGGAATAATTGACAATAACTTCATTGCAGATATTTAGAGCTTCCAATACTGTTACTTTGCGGAACGGTGGATTGGTCAGCTCAGTCACCGGACCTTAATCCGTTATATTACGGAATGTGGAGATGGCTGAAAGGCGATGTTTATCAAGTAAAAGTAAACATGCGTGATGAACAATCGTTCGTATTACGACCAGTGCGGCACGAATCAAGGCACGTCAGGATAAATTGGTAATGTACACATTTAAATAAATCAGTTTATGTATTAACTGGCTGTATCTCAGTTACCTTTGAGAATTGAGCATATTTTTTTAGGAACTTTTCTCCTTAAAATGAACAAATTTATAACATATTAACGTATAAACTAAACAATATTATTTCTCATAAAAAGTTTTACTTTTCCCCCTTTTTATTTTTAATTCTGAGAAATTAGTAGAAATTATTAATCATATTAGGTTTTACCTTGCAATCCATGACGACTAATTTTCCGCCTTGGTGCGATGTAATTCTTGGTTTTTCAACAAATGTTGGTCCATCACCTTCGGGTTCTGGTTCGGCTTCGATGTTAAGGTTTAGATTAGCATTGCTTTCGCCAAATTCGTTTTTGACGTGACACCGATATGTGCCGCCATCGGGTGCGGTGGGGTCTTTAATTTCGAGTGTGAGTTCGTAGATGTCCTCTTCTTTATCGAGGACGGATATCTTGATTTTAGCGGATTCCTTAACGGCGGTGGTGCCGCGGAACCAAGTGACTTCTGGCTTTGGTTTGGCCTTGCATTTACACTTCATCGTGATGAGGGTGCCGCTTTCGTTGGGGATGATCTTGGGTTTCTCGATGAAAGATGGTGCGAAGCCGGCAGCATCGTCTCCGCCTAGAAATAGAAGAATCGGTAGACGGTGAAGAGACGTTTTTTTTTGATCTCGAGAAAAAGGCCATGCTCATGCTCGGTTTCGTTACGCGATATTCGAGATGATTGATACCTTGGAAGTTAAGGGAAATATTAGCATTGCTTTCCCCAAAGTTATTGAATGCGTTACAGCGATAGTTTCCGCCATCTTCTCGTGTCGGATTCGAAATTTCTAACGTTAACATGTAGGTGTCTTTGCTGATGGCTTTTCGGAACATTCTCACGCGTGTATTGTCCGCGATCGTCTGGTTTCCGTGGTACCACGTGATATCCGGCGCGGGGTTTGCTTCGAGGAGGCACTCCATAACCAGGACATCACCATCTTGTCGTATAGTGGGCTTTTTCGGAAATCGCGGCGCTTTTCCATCCGGAATCCTGAGGAACATACACAATGATTCTTCCGTAAAACGAATCAACGAATTTCTTACTTTGGTTTACCGTCGCCCTCGAAATTAAGATTTATCGTCGCGGTTCCGACGCCATATTTGTTTTTGGCTATGGCCCTGTACTCCCCTTTATCGGAATTTTCGACGTTATTGATTTCTAATCGTGCTAAATAATACAACTTTTGATCCATCTCCATGGACATGGTGTATCTTCCGGCCATTTTGATCTCCTTCTTCCCGTGGAACCTATATATCGGTGGTCCATTGTGTAAACCAACACGCGGGTATCAATGTATGATACATACCATTGTATATCCGGCCTGGGTTCTCCGACGCACCTACATTCAAACGTTATCGTCGCCCCGTCATCTGTTTGGCGAATGATGGGTCTTTCGGTGAAGGTCGGCTTGATGCCCTCTTGATCGGGTACTGGAGCTTCATCGCCTATACACAGAAACTCATCCAACAAATATATCCCAAAAATATACAACGCACTCGCGCATCGATTACAATGGTCGCCGTGTGACAAAAGCTCAGCTTTTAATCTTTTACAGGGCTGTAATACAACGTTCGAAAAAATGGGAAACATATTTGCATAAGAGCATGGCCTTCAAAACTACTATATAATACATAAAAATTACAATAACCACGCTAGAAAAAAAGGTAAATATCCCACACCAATGTATAAATATAATACACGGATTAATTGAATATCGGGTTAAGAAATGGCAAAAATTAAAAGCTGAGCTATGATTAGGCGTCTGTTAGTTCCATTGTACTATTATGCACGAGTGCTAGATGACTTCTCATCCTTTATACAGAGCTAAAAAATGACGTTTTTAAGAGAAACCAACAGCTTGGACACATCAACACACAAAAGCAGATCCAAACGCTAATCTGGACCATTAAATCAATACACACAAGTATACTTGAAATAAAATTTACATGGAAGAAAAATATGTTGGTTCCTCTTAACATTAAAAAGCCTGAGAACTAGAAGCTCTGCAGTTAAACACCCCCCTTATCCCGAAAACCAACAAAAAACAACAACAACTATACCGAGCCTGACATTGAAGCTTATTACGGACAAATAACATATTACTTACTGTCGAAGTTGAGACTGATCGTAGCATTGCTCTCTCCCAACTCGTTCTTTGCAGTAACCTTGTATTTACCAGCATCCTCAACGGTAACGTTCTTGATTTCAAGGGTTGCAAAATACGAGTGGCCATCTTTATCTACCCTCAACTGCAAAAGATGGAATTAAGTCAGCTTTTAAAATCCGATTCGACATCTATCATAACACCTTTTCAATTTTATCATGTTGATCCACTGCCAAGAAATTATGATTATAGTGAGATCAATAAATTTTTTTTTAATTTAATTTTTTAATAATGATTGTCTAATAACCTAATTATAGAAGTGATCACAAAACGTACAAATATAATGTAGCCAAAATTTTTGATGACCAACTCTAATAGTTATGCATTGATGAAATGTGTGTTACCTTGTGACGTGAACCTTCAGTAACGGCGTTGGTATTGTGAAACCAGCTGACGACCGGCCTAGGATCAGCTTGAATACGGCATTCGAAGAGTAATCTTTTACCATCTTCTTCCTGCCTGATGGCTGGTTTCTTGGCGAAGGTGGGCGCGATGCCGTCGATTTGTCTACGCGTACGTTAAGGAAAAAAAAGGTTAAGAGATGATTCAAGGGGAATAATAATAGATGCGGGCGCCGAGAAATATGAACTCTGACGCAAAAGTTACGTGGCCAAGAAGGCCGTTGCCAACAAAATGATGATAAAACCGATTTTTGATGATACTCACTTTTCTCGTGGCTCATCCATAGCTAAAAGGAAAAAGAAGATAATTACATATTAATTTAACATTAAGTAAACTTACGGCTGAAATTCAAGTTGATGGAGGCAGCTACCTCGCCCATCTTGTTTTTCGCTTTGACCTTGTATAAGCCAGCATCGGCCTCTATGACATCGTCTAATTCCAAGACGACAAGGAACTTGTTGGTCCCCACAGATTGGATTTTGAAATTTGTTCGGCCATCCTCCGAAAGAAGTGTATCGCTTCTGAACCATTGGATGTCGGGTTTTGGGGAAGCAAGTAACTGACACTCGAAGATGAGGCGATTACCATCATCTTCTTGTCTTAGCTGTGGTTTTTGTGTGAAGCTGGGAGCGAAATCCTCCGCCACTCCCATGCTTTCTCGAATGTCACGTTATCCCGCTAACATAGATGAACAAGTCGACTTCGTACTAAATTCCGCACCAAGCACACTTACTTCTTTGCAAACGTATTCGATGGTCGCTCAATTCACTATTAGATTCACCGAAAGTTATGATACCGCACTCATCCACTAATTCCGTGTAATATTCGCGTCGTTTAATCTTCGTTCGTCTTACCCTAGAGCTTTCTTCGTGGCCTCCCAAAGCACTGACTAAAGAACCTCAACTCGCACCCTGATTCTAAACTAGAGCGTGACAACGTCTCCCCCCAGAGCGTCGATGCCCCACTCCGTAGAGATGCTCGGCGTCGGCGTCGGTACCGGGATAGGGATCTCTGCCTGCTGCCGCCTCCGCATCCTCCGTCGATGCCCATTTGTTGATTATCGATAGTGACTAATCGAACCAAAATAATATCAAATCTTTATAAAAATATCTTAACAATTAAGTTTCCTATCGTCTATGAATCCCTTTCGTTATTTTTAATTAATGACCCATTTGGCATCGTCCTCAACTAGTTCCAAATCATCATCTGCGAATGTGATTCATTGAATGCCATGGCAAAGTCTCAGGGTTTTTTTGTCAGGTGTGATTATTAATTAATCAAAATTCTTTCTCAAGGTTATTTTTGACTAACAACGATAAAGATGTGCATAAATTAAGTGATAATAGATTTAATTATTTGTATTTGTTTACTAGGACAATATCAAATATTGGCAAGTGAAGTTAGCGTGGAAAACACTATTTCACAGTAATTCGTATGATATGAACCTCAAGCATTCTTGGCACGATTCCATCGATATTTAATTATTTCACTAGAAACGTTTAAAAATATGCGAAATAACTTCAGGATTTTCGCCGATTGAAAGGATCAAGGCAAAAATAATTGGCTTAGATGGAGAAGTGAGGATCTGTAATTTGATATATCTCTACTGGTTTGATTAGACAATTCGGCTGAAAATAAAAGCTATTTATAGCAGGTGCGGATTCTGGCGTTTCGGGCTGCTTTGCAACGAAACTAGAACCGTTCCAAGGATCCAACGTTGAGGTATCGGCCTATTTACATCGATCTCGTAAATTCGGTGTAGGTACTTTCTGGTTCTGGTTCTATTTTAACTAAAATAACCGGTTAAAAACTAAAATTGTCTTCAAAATAAATGTTTGACTATTGCAAAAGATCGTCACTGATGTCAAAAGATTTATGAACAAGTTATTTTGGGGTCGCCATTTACTTTTCGACTCTTTTGCAAAGTGGAACGCTCAAATTTTATTTTTATGGGCCGTAATCGTACTCGTGAATCATTACGAACTTTATGTAGCCCATACACTATTAATATACGCGCCCATTAATTCATCGGAAGTGGATAAATAATATAGGCATAATTCATCCGCAATTAACAAACCGATTATACCCACGGTCCTTGTGAGTCAAATGTTATAAATCCAACTCGCAACTTTGTTGATTCAGAGCCACAACTTTGTAACGTCAGTTTAGCGGCAACTACACTATAAATAAAACATTAATTTAGCAAAATTAAAAATAATTCAAGAGATTGACGCATCGATATATCTGGATGTGCCAAGAAACAATAAACCGTATAAGTACAATCTAAACAGATACGTCCGGCATATAATTTTCGCAAAAACATCTTTGGGTGTAAAATATGACTAATGGGGTTGCTAAAAGCTGTTGTACCTATAATCTCTGTGATCCAACGTGATGCCAAGAAATGAGCTCGTGTAATACTACCTTAATGATCTTGGAGCTTGTTTTAGTCGCCTTGGGTTCAATTTTAGTACACGTTTCATAAGAAAGTTGCTTATTTTCGTATTTTGGCTCACAAATTACCTACCTATAGGATCACATTGTTTTCTCGCACTATTTAGTTTCCTTATTGACATATATTATATCTCATGGACCAATATATATAAATTTAATAATTGAAATCTAATCATTCGCGTCTAAATATTTTCTGCTGCTCTCCCTTTTTCGTTGTTTAGAAATTGTATTTATAGTGTAATGTAGACGACGTGCTCCAAAAAACTTGGCATTCGAAATAAACTCGAACCACTCTAAATCCGGCCGATTGTATCGTGTTTTCAACTAAATTTATAAATAAATTACAATGTTTTCTTAATCGCTTTTTTATGTATTTCCATGAAGAATTAACTGAAAATTACGGCAAATTAAATATGTAGGTCAGTATGAAAGAAGTGAGGTTGCCCTAGAAAACTGATTAGCGTAATTAAGTTAGGTTTAGGTCGTTGTCGCATGTTAAAAATATGTCGCAGGTGGTGATTGATGCTAAATCGGTCAGCATGGAAATAAAAATATGGTTTCATGAAAACACTATTATAGTGCAGGGGAGACAAGCAAGGCCGGCCTTTCGAATCCAAATGAAAACCTCTTCGAAAGAAACCTATATAATCTTCTAGAAATAACTGTCGGACCGAGTATTTTTAGCGGAGTCCAGAGAAAAAGAGATGTAATCTTATACATAGTCTGGTGCCATGCCAAGCCATATAGGGCGGCGAGCTGCGCCTGCGGAAAGACGCCCTAGTGACGTCACTAGTAGCATCCTAGGCGCAAGCGTCACCGCACGACTTCTCTCCCTAACAGCATGCGATCAACTGCCTAATTTCCGCGGCAACGTATTTTAACAGCTCAAGGTGGGGATTAACCTTCCTTACAAATCGACTTTTATCGATCAATGCCTACAAAACATTTCCCACTGTTAATTTGCCAATATTATTCCTTTCAGTCAACACTCTTTAAGTGCCACAATTCAAATTTTGAACATTAAATCTAAATTGGTCTTTTATAGGTCAGTGTAAATGGAAAATATATTTAATAACACTACATAATTTTATTAAATCATAATTTATTTAAATTACAAGTAATAATGATCTGGATGCGCCGGTGGCATTCTTGACCCCGTTATTGTATTGACGTGACACATATAGGGGCCCGGGTCTATTTTGAAACGTCGAGGATGGATTTTGTAACGTCGTTTTCAGTGAGCCAAGTGGAAAAATGAAGCTTGGGGAGAAAACATCGTTCATTAGTCATTTTTGTTGACCCGGTGCATAACGCGAAGTGCACGGTTAATTCAGGAGAGACTAATAGGTGTCTTGTCATCAATTTAAATGGTCTTTATGACCCACTTGGATTTTAGTAAACATTTTCAGTTTTTCGGCAAATTTTTTTATCTAGATATGAGTCATCTTTTTTTCGAGCAGGCTCCCGTCCAACAATTTATTATGTAATACCTTGGTTGCGGCCAGAAAAATTAGTTCGCTGTTAAAAAAACATATTTTTATCGATAATTTTCATTCGAAGCAATCATTTTTAACCGTTTTATCTAATTAGAAAATAAATCATTGTTTCATTAGAAACTGCAGTACAATTTAATATACGCATGTAAAAATACGTCAAATATTTCCCCATACTCAAGACGGTTGTCTTGTCGGAGCTGTCAATTAGCGAAATTAAACCCGACCTGCCCGCGAAATGATTCAGACAAAAAAATACCATTATTTACAAACGCGACTGCCAAAGCCTTTGCAAAGTGGCAACGGAGTGGCCAGAATAAAAATAGAAGCCGCGCTAAATTAAGTAGCACCCACTGAAATATCTTACGCCCCCCTAAACTGAAAAAGTCAATTTATAATATAGACGCTACATCGCTTCACTCTTCTTTTTTTTTCACAACCATCCGCTGCCAATTGCGTCAGATGATCCCGACTCGTAATTTCTACATTGCACGTCACTTTTCAAATATTTCCATAACAATAATAATAAAAAGAAAAATAGCCATCTGAAAGTAGTTGTCACAATTTATTACTCCATTTATATTACGCTTATAGCGCTACAAAAAATTAAAGATACAAAAAGAAAACATTTACCAAACAAATTTTATAAGTTCTTTTACATTTAACATTATTTAATTGCCAGTCGACGGAGGATTCGGAGGATCTTGGTTCTGTTGGTCGTCTTCTGGACCTCGATTTCCACCCATGCTGGATCTTAATGTCTCCATTAAATTCGGATAAGCAGTTTGCATTTGCTGAGCTAATTGTTGACCTCTGAAAATATCAACAAACAATTATAATTACGTTTGTAAAGAACTGTATTAAGCGTATGCATAATCGTATTAAAAAGTACTAGAAAAAATGTTGTATGAGAAATAAATGAAATATATTTTTTTAATAATCTAGAGTGCTGTAAAAAAATGCGTAAAGCATATTACCACAGAATACAGAATAGAAATTAGTAGTGGTTAGTTACCAAATATCCGGCTTTGGCCAGATATCCAACAATATATCTTAGTACTCCAAATATCACCAATTATTAATTAAAGGCTTTTGTGCTTGATAAAGCAACGGTCCTTTGTTTTTTAGTTTCCCACGAGATTTCTGCGTTTGCCATTTTAAACAGATAAATAGTATAGGAGCGCCGATCATCTATAGATGATCCCCAATCTGCATCTGTATAACATTCCATTATTTATTTATTTTCTTTCCCTGAAGTTCTATAGGTTAGTTCCAAATTTATTTTTCCTTTTAAATACCTTAACACTCTTTTTGCGGTAATCCAATGACTCTCATTGCAATTTGTGTTAAGTCAATTTAACACAAATAAGAAGTTAACGCCAAATGTAATATCTGGTCTTGTACCAATTGATGCATACATTAAACTTCCGATCGGACTTTGATATGGATACTTTTTCATTATTTCTTCGTTTTTTACTTCAGGTTTTTGTAATTTTGCATTTGAGTCCATTGGTGTACTGACTGGTTTTGAGTTTTCCATACCAAATCGCAGTAGAATATCTTTTATATACTTCTTTTGTGAAATTTTCATCGTAACCTATTAAAATTATGCGTGATATGTTTTAACAGTTTAACAAACCTTTTTATTATCTTTATATATTCACAATGAATAATAACAACATTCACTTGTTTTATATTATATATAACTACTCATAAAATATTAATGCACTCTTGATTGGGATTGCTTTATGATAAAATATAACATTTCAACAAAAATTTCCCAAAGTGTCCTCTTTCCGATGAACCAACCCGTTTTGAAAAATAACTTTTAGTTTTTGAGAAAACAGTTTTGATAAAATTTTCGATGTTGCGATAATTTTCAAAATTCGCTATAAATTTTATTTCTTGAAGGATCCTTGTGGAAATATCACCAATTATTAATTAAAGTATCCTCTTTTTAATCCAACAAGCCGTTTAGAAAAATCACTTTTAGTTCTTGACAAAAAAATTTTTGAAATGATAGACAATTTTTTCAAATTTTGCAATTTTCGCCGATTAAGTTTTAAAAATTCGTATAAAATCCACTTCTTGGAATATGAGTATGCAAAATTTCCCAAAGTGTTAATAAAAGCGTCCTCTTTCCAATGAACCAACCCATTTTAAAAAATAGCTTTTAGTTTTTGAGAAAACAATATTTGAGGTTATGATAAAATTTTCGATGTTGCGATAATTTTCAAAATTCGCTATAAATTTAATTTCTTGAAGGATCCTTGTGGAAATACCACCAATTATTAATTAAAGTATCCTCTTTTTAATGCAACAAGCCGTTTTGAAAAATCTCTTTTAGTTTTTGAGAAATAAGTTTTTGAAATAATCGACAATTTTTTCGTATTTTGCAAATTTTCGCCGATTAAGTTTTAAAAATTCGTATAAAATCCACTTCTTGGAATATGAGTATAAAAATTTCCCAAAGTGTTAATAAGAGTGTCTTCTTTCCAATGAACCAACCCGTTTTGAAAAATAACTTTTAGTTTTTGAGAAAACAATATTTGAAGTTTTGACAAAATTTTCGATGTTGCGATAATTTTCAAAATTCGCTATAAATTTAATTTCTTCAAGGATCCTTGTGGAAATATTACCAATTATTCATTAAAGTATCCTCTTTTAAATGCAAAAAACACGTTTTGAAAAATCACTTTTAGTTCTTGAGAAATAAATTTTTGAAATAATCGATTTTGCAATTTTCGCCGATTAAGTTTTAAAAATTCGTATAAAATCCACTTCTTGGAATGTGAGTATGAAAATTTCCCAAAATGTTAATAAGAGTGTCTTCTTTCCAATGAACCAACCCGTTTTGAAAAATAACTTTTAATTTTTGAGAAAACAATATTTGAAGTTTTGACAAAATTTTCGATGTTGCGATAATTTTCAAAATTCGCTATAAATTTAATTTCTTGAAGGATCCTTGTGGAAATATCACCAAATAAATTTTTGAAATAATCGATTTTGCAATTTTCGCCGATTAAGTTTTCCGGTTTTTCGCAAAATCACTATCCGTTCCTAGTGATGGAACGGATAATAATAAATTAGTCTTTTAAGTGTGTTATTAATTGAATAAGAGTTATGGTCCAAAGCCATTCTGTGTTCTGTGGTATGAGCAACTTAAATCTGGTTTTTATTTTATTGAATATATGATACATGCAAATGTAAGTAAATCACCAGAAACAATAATTATATGTTATAGTTAAAAATTATTATTAACTCAGATATTAAACATCTATTATTATTCTATTAAAAATGTATTATTCTATTAAAACTTCTAATTACTCATCAACATGATGTCTTTGAAGTAATGAATATTGTCAATAAACATGAAAAAAGTTTTTTTTCTGATATATAGACAATAAATATGAGCCATAACAAAAATTACTTAAAAATTTTATTACTTCAAACATCTCTAAGTGCCAAAAACTAATTTAGAAAAGCTTATCGATCATTAGAGACCAAATTTTGCTTAACTAAGCATTAACACTAGCCAAAGCAACATCACAATTAAACAAAATAACTGTGTTTATTAAAAACAGCCACATAATCCGACTTAACCCATTAGTGCATAGTGTCCCTCAAAAGGGACGTCAAAATTATATTTTATTTATTTATCAAACGTCATATAAAAAAACGGCAATTTGTATGGTTTTGGTGGAAGGTGTTATGGAAGATTCTACCACTTGCACAATTGAGAAGAACAACATCAATATCATCAAAAGAAAAGCAATTGGCGTGAAGATACTACTCCTTTGTGTTTTTGCAACGTCTCAGGCGACCCAAAAAAACATTCCAAAGAAGATGACCAAGCAGAAGATCCATTGGATTATTTTAAATTATTTTTTGTAATTCGCGACCGTAATGAAAGCTATTATAGTACTCAAACGGGTGCTGTAATGAGACTCCTTACAGCATCCGATGCTGTAATGAGATTTTAGTAACATTTTATGGAACCAGTTCAAGTTGGTGACATTGGGTCATTAATTTTTCATGAGAAGTGATGAAGTATTACTTATTCAATGGAAAAATAACAAAGTGATTGCCATGGCTATAAACTTTCCAGAAAAATCTCACCATGGTGCAAACAAAGTAGGTCTTATAGAGTTATAGAGCAGCCTGGAATGGTAACAAGCTATAATAAAGGAAAGCGTGGGGTGGATAATTTAGATGAATTTGTTGCACTATACAGAAAGTGATGTTTCTCTTAGTTACTGTTCTTCATTACTGGCATTTCGGCGATACATAGCACTCAGCTAAGTCATCATATGAAAACTTCTGTATCTGAGCCATTGCTGACAATCCGTTATGATAACATTGGTCTTTTGATTCAATTCTCCAAGACAAATCGACGATGTAATCATTGTACAAAAAAGTCAAATTTCATATGTATAAAGTAATATTATTAGTTGAATATTATCATACTAAATAATACTAAAACATATTTGTTATTCCTTAACATCTTTTTTGTGAATAATTACGTTTTTAAATTATTGTATTTCTGTTATATTAAAGTATTATTAACGCAAATATGATACAGTGTATTCTACGCATAGTTAAGGGCTAAAATATTTTTTTTCCAAAAAAAAATTCTTTTTTGATATAATAGATAATAAAATTAAATAAAAATACAAAAAAGTTGTTTTTGATCAAAAGAATAACTTCATGCACTAATGGGTTAATTAAGAAAAAACTGAATAAAAGAAAATAGGTGATCTAGATAAAACTAATATCACATTTTTGGTATTAAAATAAGGAAATTTCCAGTTTAAAACTTTTTGTTCTATGTATAGGTGTCCCGTATCTACCGCATCAGAGCATTATACGGTTGAAGGACACATAATTCTGAAGCGGTTTTCTAATAACAATTTTTCGAAATGTTTATAATCACCGCACGGTAGTGGTGGAACGGATATCCGGCCGGATACAGGATAATTACCAAATATTCGGCTTTGGTCGCATATTAAAAACCTATTACTTAGTACTCCACCATACCCACAAAATAACTTTTAGTTTTTAAAAAAACAATATTTGACGTTTTGAAAATTAATATTAAATAATTATCCGTGAGACGATCTTTTTTATAAAAAGAAACTATTTTATTTCGTACTAATATTTCGATCGTTTTTTTCGATCGTTTTGAAAATTCGCTATAAATTTAATTTCTTGAAAGATCCTTGTGGAAATATCACCAATTATTAATCAAAGTATCCTCTTTTTAATGCAACAAGCCATTTTGAAGAATCACTTTTAGTTCTTGAGAAATAAATTTTTGAAATAATCGATTTTGCAATTTTCGCCGATTAAGTTTTAAAAATTCGTATAAAATCCATTTCTTATATAAAATCTCTTGTTGCAGTTTCGTATAGTTTCCATAATGGCCGGATAGATATGCCGGATAACCGGATATCCGGCCGCGGGAATGCCGAATATCCGGTATCCGGCTTTTCGCAAAATCACTATTTGATATTTTCTTAAAAACTTCCACTAGCAGCTGGTAACTCTCATCCTTTTTATTTTTATCCATATATTCACTACTTTTCACTTTCCAAAGTCAAGAAGTACTTTTCACTTCTTTAGTATATACTTATAAATTCACACCATAGCCTCTTCTTAATTACGAACAGCCATTTCGTAAACAAACTTGAATAATACGCTTGCGAAGATCAATTTAAAACTGAGAAGAATGACATGAACTGTCTCTACGCGTACAAGCTTGCACACGACNCTTTTAGTTTTTGAGAAATAAATTTTTGAAATGATCGAAAATTTTTCCGATTTTGCAATTTTCGCCGATTAAGTTTTAAAAATTCGTATAAAATCCACTTCTTGGAATGTGAGTATGAAAATTTCCCAAAATGTTAATAAGAGTGTCCTCTTTCCAATGAACCAACACGTTTTGAAAAATAACTTTTAGTTTTTGAAAAAACAATATTTGAAGTTTTGATAAAATTTTCGATGTTGCGATAATTTTCAAAATTCGCTATAAATTTCATTTCTTGAAGGATCCTTGTGGAAATATCACCAACTATTAATTAAAGTATCCTCTTTTTAATGCAACAAGCCGTTTTGAAAAATCTCTTTTAGTTCTTGAGAAATAAATTTTTGAAATAATCGATTTTGCAATTTTGGCCGATTAAGTTTAAAAATTCGTATAAAATCCATTTCTTGGAATATGAGTATGAAAATTTCCCAAAGTGTTAATACAAGTGTCCTCTTTCCAATGAACGAACCCGTTTTGAATAATAACCTTTAGTTTTTGAAAAAACAATATTTGAAGTTTTGATAAAATTTTCGATAATTTTCAAAATTCGCTATACAATTAATTTCTTGAAGGATCTTGGAATTTTCTTGAAATCTTGGATCCAAATAAGTTGACATATCTTATCAGCTTTCTTATTAATTTAATTTTTATTCAAATATCGCAATAATGTGGCAACTTCAGAAATGATTCACGGAAAAAATTTATTTCTCTTTCCGTGTCGAATCTATTGGTGAGTACACGTGAGAAACGAGTTATGAACAGCGCGGCGGACCGTTCATAACTCATTGGACGACTATAAACAGTTCCCGTGCGGTTGTTATAAACATTACGATAAAATATTATTAGAAAAATCGCTTCAAAATAATGTATCCTTCAACCATATGATGCGGAAGATACGGGACATCCTGTATTGGTTAGTACAAAGTCTTCAAATAAATTCCCTACCCCTATGATGTGGGACAGCTCCAAACATTTTCAGATTAAAAACACTACCTCAGTTGAAAATTTATTTGAAGGCGTCAACAAAATAAAGTACTAAAAACCCGAGACCTAAAATTTCGAATATCAACAGATACTCACACTGTAACAAAAGCGTCTATGTTTGCCTCGTCATTTGGTCCTGACGACATGATCCCAGACACCCTGAACGAACACGTTTGAAATGTGACAAAGACAACTTAAAAAACGTATACGTACATATATCTAAACGACGGGTCGTTGAGCATTTGGGACGCCATATTCAGAAGGGCGGGATTGTTCATGAAGCTATTAAAGTCCAACCCTGACACGTTCGGGAATCCCGCCGGCGCTGCACCTGGAGCTGCCGTCGCCGTTGAACTCCGAGATGATGTGCTCGATGACGTTAAAAGTTCTTCGGCTAACTTCAAATTTTGCTCGTATGTCACATTTGACGGATCTAATTCGTGAGCTTTTGCATAAGCTTCTTTAGCTTCCTTATACATGTGCATATTTGAATATGCAACACTAATAAAAAAATAAATTAATAAAAATATAAAGAAAACTGACGCGTGTGAAGTTAGCCATAGATTTTAAATTAAAAAAAATGCGTGATCGGGGTATTTAATCGATCTAATTTCAACGGCATCGTATTCAAGGTCGCCTTTTGTTTCAAATTCGAAAAGAAAATTTTTCTAACCATTTCCTATAGTCTGGGAAAAGCACAATTTGTTTGAAGAAAATCGATTTTTCCGGAATATAAGAAATAGTTAGGAAAATTTTCTTTTCGAATTTGTAACAAGAGGCGATCATGAACACGATGTCGTTGATATTAGATCGATTAAATACTCCGATCACGAATTTTTTTCAGTTTAAAATCTATGGCCAACTTCACACGCGTAGAAAACTCATAATCAAATATATACTATCTCCTATATCGCTGACTACGGCAGCCAAAGAGTGTCAGGACTAGAGTGCAGATATATATATATCTGTCTCTGTCGCTGTCATAAGTTTTACACTCTGCCTAACGCGTTTCGGCGATCTACGCCATCTTCGGAGGCTTTCGTCCTTTTTGGTTATGTTATGTAGTACATAAAAATATTGGTTTTTTTTTTATGTGGTAAAGTTAAGATGCTTCTTGCAGGGATTATTTTCAAACATTAACATTTAATGGGCTGGATTACTACTTGTTTTTCTCGGAAGCGAACAAATTCCAGAAAATGGCGTCTAGCAATATAAGTTTAATTATTAACCTGCATAAAGTTGATATTTAAAGCAATATTCAACCTCAATTTCACACAAAAGTACATATATTCTAATTCATTTGATGCATCAATGATAATTTATAGTTAAAGTAAACCATCTATACAGGTGTCCCGTTAAGGGTATGGAGCGGCTGTATCTCGACAACGATAAAGCCTAGAGGTTTGGGAAAAATAATAATAAAATTCCCGCTTTCTCAGAAAGTTAGACGATGAGCTATAACTTTGATAACATCTTTTAGTAGCTTGGCCAATACGTTTTTATATGTTTATGTTTATTACACATTTTTGGCATGCAGTTGCATCGTATTCGAAACATTGAAAATAAATCATCATACGCTTCTGCGATAGTAAATGACATGTTTACAGTTACCATGGTTATGTGATTTGCTTTTCTCGATGAGGTACCTCGATCCAATTGATGGCACTCGAGTTTTTAACATTTTTTCTATAATTCGAAAACGGATGGAGATATCGAGATGCGGTTTTCACTAATATTTAGCAAATTTTATGGTGATTAAGGGTCTGTGAACTAAATAGTACCGTTTCATTTAACTTTTTTTCATAAATCACAGAAATATGTAACCGCTGCAGATAACGCCCTCTAGCTTATTTGTTTTAAACTAAGCGGTCTTACTGAAAATATCTTTTAAAAGAGCATAAAATGCTCTTTCAAACAAGACCAAAAATATTCAAATTGGTTGAATGGTCCAGGAGATATTAAAATGTAAACATTTGAAAACGTATTGGCCTCCCCATCCCTTATTATGACAGATATGAGAAATATAAGTTATAGCTCATCGTTTAAATTTCTGAGAAAGCGGGAATTTTATGTTTCTCTATGGCAGTTACGCCCCCTAACAGTCGAATTACGAACTTCTTCGCTTATAAGACTTTTTTCCCAAACCTATAGGCCTTACCGTTATCGAGATACAGCTGCTCCGTACTCTTAACGGGACACCCTGTAATAATTGCATTTTAAAGCTGCATAAATTACGCGCAAAACACTTCAAACTCTTTAAAATTTATGATTCGCTCAAGCGCTTTCGCGACATGGGGGCATGACAAAGACAGACAATATATCATTCCGTCCGCCTTTGATGGAAACGCTCTCCTCTCATTGCTTAAATAGGAAGTCAGCGATATAGGAGATAGTATATACAGGTGTCTCAGCGAAACCGGTCATTATACGTTTCTGGGGTTCTGGCGAAAATAAAAATTTGAGAATTCAGATTCAAGTATTATTAATTACGATCTCTTCGATTAAAATATTTTCAGATTTCTTACACTTCCGGTTATACCGGAAGTCGCGTTGATTCGGCCGTTCTCGAGTTATTCGAATTTGTTCAAAAAATCAGAGAACACTCGATTTTTGGGATATCAATTTAGGATTCAGAACATGCTTAACCAATATGATGGAGTATGTTTTGGTGCCGAGAAAGGTTGCCTAGAACGTTTGGTCACTTTACTATGGCACGTTAACTTTTCGAAATTTGGAAGTACCATAACTTCATTTTTTTAAATGGCACCCGCCATATTTAATTACTTAGTCGTCTTCGGTGTCTCATTCTACATCTTTTATATCCCATATGTCAAATACCTAACATTAATAGTTTGGGACATAATTAGGGTTTTTTGAAAAATGCACACATATATGGATATTTAGCCTAGTGTGCCATGAAAAACAAGCCTTCTCAATGAGTTCTTGTCAAAGACTCACTTGTTTACGTCACTTGATGCATGTGAGCTAATAATTATCTGTTAGGTCCCTTAATATTAGTACTGAAAAGAGTTAAAATCGATAACAATAACGAAAATAATATTTACACAAATCAAGAAATTCTTAATTTAATTCCCAGATCTTCTTTGGCAGCTCGAATTGAGGTGTTGGGACTGGGCTCGAAATAATTCCGTTGCATTATCTACTACATTTTTGGGTTTAACACGTAATTAATTCGTCCTAAATGCAAAAAATTTGCTTCTATTCTTCTAAATTTAACTTTTTTCGTCGGAGGTAAATATGGATAATTTTCATTAAACATTCTGCAAGTTCTGCTAAGAACTTTGTCGCACTTTTCGTGCACAAAAAATAAATTATGGATTTCTTCATTTGTATAAACATTATTTACGTTATTAATATCCATTCTAACCGGTTTTAGACTCACAAGCATCAAACAACGTAAATCAGACTTTGACGTTTGTTAATAATTCATTAAACATTTGTTTTCCATAGCACACTAGGTTAATATTGATATCAATCAAAAAACCCTAATTATTTCTCAAATTATTAATGTTAGGCATAGGACATATGGAGTATAAAAGATGTAAAATGAGACGCCGAAGACGACTAAGTAATAAAATATGGGGGGTGCCATTTAAAAAAATTAAGTTATGGTGCTTCGAAATTTCGAAAAGTTAACGCGTCATACTAAAGTGACCAAACGATCTAGACAGCCGTTCTCGGCACCAAAACATACTCCATAACGTTGTTTAAGCATGTTCCGAGTCCTAAATTGATATCTCAAAAAACCAGTGTTCTATGATTTTTTGAACAAATGTCCGCTGGAGCAGATTTTTCTAGAAAAATTCGAATAACTCGAGAACGGCCGAATCGAATTGCAAAAAGTAAAGTTATTTATAACCTTCAAAACAGAAAATCCAAATATGTAAAAATATACAGGGTGTTCCATTTAAAAAAATGAAGTAGGTGGCGACTTCCGGTATAACCGGAAGTGCTAGAAATCTGAAAATATTTTAGACGAAGCAAACGTAATTGGTAATACTAAAGTATGATATTGTTTTCCATGGCACACTAGGTTAATATTGATATGATATGTGAGCATTTTTCAAAAAACCCTAATTATTTCTCAAACTATTAAGGTTAGGCATAGGACATATCGAGTATAAAAGATGTAAAATGAGACGCTGAAGTCGACTAAGTAATAAACTATGGGGGGTGCCATTTAAAAAAATTAAGTTATGGTGCTTCGAAATTTCGAAAAGTTAATGTGCCATAATAAAGTGACCAAACGATCTAGACAGCCGTTCTCGGCACCAAAACATACTCCATAACGTTGTTTAACCATGTTCTGAGTCCTAAATTGATATCTCAAAAAAACAGTGTTCTATGATTTTTTGAACAAATGTCCGCTGGAGCAGATTTTTCTAGAAAAATTCGAATAACTCGAGAACGGCCGAATCGAATTGCAAAAAGTAAAGTTATTTATAACCTTCAAAACAGAAAATCCAAATATGTAAAAATATACAGGGTGTTCCATTTAAAAAAATGAAGTAGGTGGCGACTTCCGGTATAACCGGAAGTGCTAGAAATCTGAAAATATTTTAGACGAAGCAAACGTAATTGGTAATACTAAAGTATGATATTGTTTTCCATGGCACACTAGGTTAATATTGATATGATATGTGAGCATTTTTCAAAAAACCCTAATTATTTCTCAAACTATTAAGGTTAGGCATAGGACATATGGAGTATAAAGGATGTAAAATGAGACGCTGAAGTCGACTAAGTAATAAAATATGGGGGTGCCATTTAAAAAAATTAAGTTATGGTGCTTCGAAATTTCGAAAAGTTAACTCGTCATACTAAAGTGACCAAACGATCTAAACAGCCGTTCTCGGCACCAAAACATACTCCATAACGTTGTTTAAGCATGTTCTGAGTCCTAAATTGATATCTCAAAAAACCAGTGTTCTATGATTTTTTGAACAAATGTCCGCTGGAGTAGATTTTTCTAGAAAAATTCGAATAACTCGAGAACGGCCGAATCGAATTGCAAAAAGTAAAGTTATTTATAAACCTTCAAAACAGACAAATCCAAATATGTAAAAATATACAGGATGTTCCATTTAAAAAAATGAAGTAGATGGCGACTTCCGGTATAACTGGAAGTGCTAGAAATCTGAAAATATTTTAGACGAAGCAAACGTAATTGGTAATACTAAAGTATGATATTGTTTTCCATGGCACACTAGGTTAATATTGATATGATATGTGAGCATTTTTCAAAAAACCCTAATTATTTCTCAAACTATTAAGGTTAGGCATAGGACATATGGAGTATAAAAGATGTAAAATGAGACGCTGAAGTCGACTAAGTAATAAACTATGGGGGGTGCCATTTAAAAAAATTAAGTTATGGTGCTTCGAAATTTCGAAAAGTTAACGCGTCATAGTAAAGTGACCAAACGATCTAGACAGCCGTTCTCGGCACCAAAACATACTCCATAACGTTGTTTAAGCATGTTCCGAGTCCTAAATTGATATCTCAAAAAACCAGTGTTCTATGATTTTTTGAACAAATGTCCGCTGGAGCAGATTTTTCTGGAAAAATTCGAATAACTCGAGAACGGCCGAATCAAATTGCAAAAAGTAAAGTTATTTATAACCCTTCAAACCAGACAAATCCAAATATGTAAAAATATACAGGATGTTCCATTTAAAAAAATGAAGTAGGTGGCGACTTCCGGTATAACCGGAAGTGCTAGAAATCTGAAAATATTTTAGACGAAGCAAACGTAATTGGTAATACTAAAGTATGATATTGTTTTCCATGGCACACTAGGTTAATATTGATATGATATGTGAGCATTTTTCAAAAAACCCTAATTATTTCTCAAACTATTAAGGTTAGGCATAGGACATATGGAGTATAAAAGATGTAAAATGAGACGCCGAAGACGACTAAGTAATAAAATATGGGGGGTGCCATTTAAAAAAATGAAGTTATGGTGCTTCCAAATTTCGAAAAGTTAACGTATCATAGTAAAGTGACCAAACGATCTAGACAGCCGTTCTCGGCACCAAAACATACTCCATCATGTTGTTTAAGCATGTTCTGAATCCTAAATTGATATCTCAAAAATTGAGTGTTCTATGATTTTTTGAACAAATGTCCGCTGGAGCAAATTTTTCTAGAAAAATTCGAATAACTCGAGAATTGCTGGTTCAAATTGCAAAAAGTAAAGTTATTTATAAACCTTCAAAACAGACAAATCCAAATATGTAAAAATATACAGGGTGTTCCATTTAAAAAAATGAAGTAGGTGGCGACTTCCGGTATAACCGGAAGTGCTAGAAATCTGAAAATATTTTAGACGAAGCGAACGTAATTGGTAATACTAAAGTATGAATTCTCAAATTTTTATTTTGGCCAGAACCCCAGAAACGTCTAATGAGCATCCTGTATATGCTCATAATTAATAATTACCCCATTCTTCCATAAGCTTTAGCCGAACGAGATAATTTAATAGACTCTTTACAATCAGAAATAGCATCCCAATGCCTTTCTAATCGACTGTAAGCAGCTGCTCTATTACAATAATAAACAGGATTTCTAGGATTTAAATTGATAGCCCTAAAAACAAAGTTAAGTTAATCACCTAACAATATTGATTAGTTTAAACACTAAAGTTACTTTGTATATAAATCCAGCGCTTCTGAATATAAACCTAATTTCATCTGATCGTTTCCTTTCACTTTAAGTTCTTCTGCTATTATACTAATATCTTCACTAACTTCTGAATTGGCTCTAAACATCAAATTCAAATCATCTGCGTTTGCTAAAGATGCAAGATCATTTCCATCAACCTCATATGTTGATTCCAAACACTGTCGGGCGACGTCCAAAGACTCTTTCTGCTCGGCATCAAGAGTACTATGTTCAATTTCATCACGAAGAAACCTTAATATGCTTTTAATTATCTGCAGCTTAATATCGTCCATTGCGTAAAATCTGAAAAATAAAATAGCCACGTAAACATTCGCTCCGTTTATTTTCAAGAATCCTTGAAATTCGTTCGGTTAAAAAGTGAGGTTAGATATCAACCGCTAACATTTATTTTATTTAATTTCGCTTTTAAAGTTGATATTGATTTTATAGTTTTAAATAAATGAAAATTATAATCAACTTTTTCTTACCTAAATGAGAATTGTAATGATACTCACTTTTTTCTAAGAATTAGTTGTAGTTTTTTCACAGACAAATTCAGGGTTTTTTCCGACGAGGTGATAACGTCACGCATGCGCGTTTGATTTGACGTTGACGTATTTGAATATTTTAGCTCAAATTCATTCATTTTTGACGAATAATGATGAATTTAATGTGGCACTCTAATCTTTTTTTGATTTAAATTGGAATTCAGACTCAATTTAATCTTACATTCAATGTATTTAAAAAAGAAAAAGCAAATTCAAATTAGTTCTTCTTTTTGCCCACAGATGGCGTATTAAATTTGAAATTCTTTTTAATATTATTGTATTGGTTAAAATAATTGATTCTAACTCAAAAACTGTAACCGATGCATTGAGATGATATGAACAAAAATTGTTCATATTGAATCAGATAAAAGTAATCTATGAGCAGTTTCAACTAGACGTTGACAGTTTAATAGTTACAATACAAGAAATCCTAAAGTCTTAAAAATCAGCGGTTTTAGTTATAAGTATAGATCAATACTCATAGACTAGCCGGTGCATTGAGGTGACATTGATAAAAATGTTTCATAATGACTCTAAAAGACATAATCTATAAGCAATTTTAATCAAACTCTCATATTTATTTAGTGACAATACAAGAAGCTCCAAAATCTCATGATGTGGGGTATTGGTTAAAATAATTGATTATAACTCAAAAACTGTAACCGACGCATTGAGATGATATGAACAAAAATTGTTCATATTGAATCAGATAAAAGTAATCTATAAGCAGTTTCAACTAGACATTGACAGTTTAATAGTTACAATACAAGAAATCCTAAAGTCTTAAAAATCAGCAGTTTTAGTTATAATTATAGATCAATACTCATGGATTAGCCGGTGCATTGAGGTGACATTGATAAAAATGTTTCATAATGACTCTAAAAGACATAATCTATAAGCAATTTTAATCAAACTCTCATATTTATTTAGTGACAATACAAGAAGCTCCAAAATCTCATGATGTGGGGTATTGGTTAAAATAATTGATTATAACTCAAAAACTGTAACCGACGCATTGAGATGATATGAACAAAAATTGTTCATATTGAATCAGATAAAAGTAATCTATAAGCAGTGTCAACTAAACATTGACAGTTTAATAGTCACAACACAAGAAATCCTAAAGTCTTAAAACTCAGCAGTTTTAGTTATAATTATAGATCAATACTCATAGACTAGCCGGTGCATTGAGGTGACATTAATAAAAATGTTTCATAATGACTCTAAAAGACATAATCTATAAGCAATTTCAATCAAACTTTCACATTTATTTAATTACAATACAAGAAGCTCCAAAATCTCATGATGTGGGGTATTGGTTAAAATAATTGATTATAACTCAAAAACTGTAACCGACGCATTGAGATGATATGAACAAAAATTGTTCATATTGAATCAGATAAAAGTAATCTATAAGCAGTTTCAACTAAACATTGATAGTTTAATAGTGACAACACAAGAAAACCTAAAATCTTAAAAATCAGCGGTTTTAGTTATAAGTATAGATCAATACTCATAGATTAGCCGGTGACATTGATAAAAATGTTTCATAATGACTCTAAAAGACATAATCTATAAGCAATTTCAATCAAACTTTCACATTTATTTAGTTACAATACACAGAGGCGGCGCTACCGGGGGGTGCAAGGGGTGCACTGCACCTGGGCGCCGCCTAATAGGGGGCGCCGGCGCCTTTTTAATGTTTTCTCCAACAATATCTTATCTTTCTTTTGCAGTATTTAGACCTGTCAGCAGTATCTAGTCATCAGAAAGCAGTATTTAGTCTCCACAAAGCAATTTTAGTCTTTAGAAAGCANTCTCTGTATATGTGAGGCATATGTAAAAGTATGTAACTCGATTCGTTGTATCTGTATATCCGTTTGATGTAACTGTAGCTCTTGAAATATGATTTTTGCAATAACTATGATTGAAGATATAAGACCTAATGGATCGAATAACTTTGCTATTTGTCCTAAAATGGTTCTTTTCGTGATTAGCATGGTATGTTTCAAATCTGCACGGGTATATGTCAGCTTGTCAGTGTTTGTATTCCATTGAATTCCTAACGTTTTGAAAATTTCTTCGGACATAATTGTTGGATTTGAGAGAACAATAAAAAATATATATATGTGGGATTCCCCCATGAAAGCGCTAACGAATAAGAAGATCGATCCGTCGACACAGTTGCCTCTGAGATCCCGAAGAGCAACAATCGTATTTTTAAAGCATTACGATCGTGTTAACATTCTTTTATTACAAATTATAAGTTTTAAAGTGTACCCCTAGAAATGATTTAAATAAACATTATTTTATTATGAAGTGAACGTTTTTTAAAAACACCCCTAGAAATAAATTAAATAAAACGTGAACCCTACATATATAAAACAAAAGAAAGTTAAAATCCTATAGTTAATAAAGTATAATACCACTTTTCCAATAAATCAGCCACATTCACGAAAAGCAAGAGTTTGAACTTTGAAAAATTTTTGTGTAGTGAATTGATAAAAAGAGAAAAAAAAATGAAAATAATTTAAAATTGGGGCAGCATCAATGAAGTAGAAACCTGATGGTTGTCTGGCAGGGAAAACAGCTAAATGAAGGAAAGAAGATCACATGCAGAATCCGGACCGAGCACAGAGGTATGTTTTATATTTGATTTTACATTTTCGTCGTAGAGTTCTTAATTTCCAATGAGAGGAAATTATAATTAAAAACTATTTGATACGAGAAGCAATTCTTAAAGAGTTCGGTTCTATGGCTGGGTATTTCGAGTACATTCCGATGTCTGAGATTAAGATTGTGTACATCAGTCCGGTATGTTATTTTTTCATATAGATATGGTAGCGATTTGGTGGTAATGATTTTGTGATATAAACTTAAGCTATGCAATAATCGCCGATTTTCCATATTCAACCAATTTGCTTCCAGGTGGGAACGAGTAGTAAATCTGGGTGTCATCAGCATATGAGTGAAATTTATAGTATTGAAGTCGTTCTGACATTGTGGATGTATATACATTATATAAAAGTGGACTGAGAATACTGCCCTGCGGTACGCCAGAGGCTAATGGTCGCCGTAGAGACTGGCGATCATTTAAGATCACCCTTTGCGATCTACCCGTTAAATATTGAGTAAGAAGAGAGAGAGAGAGTTATTGCCCAGGCCACTGTAATGTAAAATAGAGATGAGAGTATCAATATCAAGGGAGTCAAACGCTTTCGAATAATCTATAAGAACCAAAACTGTAACCATTCCGTTATCAGATAGGATAAGGCGCAGTTGCTTCTCTAAAATCCTTTAAAAAAATTGCTGGCAGTAGACTAATTGGCCGTATATCCGAAAAAGCGGTTGGTGATTTTACTTTGGGAATAGGAACAACATTGGCCTCCTTCCAAGAGGAGGAAAATGTGTTGGTTTCGAGACATGTGTTGATAATATGTGTTAAGAATTGAATAATATGTGGATAACATTGATCACTACTCATGGACTAGTGCATTGAGGTTACATTGATAAAAATGTTTCATAATGACTCTAAAAGACATAATCTATAAGCAATTTCAATCAAACTCTCATATTTATTTAGTTACAATGCAAGAAGCTCCAAAATCTCTTGATTTAGGGTATTGGTTAAAATAATTGATTATAACTCAAAAACTGTAACCGATGGATTGAGATGACACGAACAAAAATTGTTCATATTGAATCAGATAAAAGTAATCTATAAGCAGTTTCAACTAAACATTGACAGTTTAATAGTTACAATACAAGAAATCCTAAAGTCTTAAAAATCAGCGGTTTTACTTATAAGTATTGATCAATACTCATGGACTAGCCGGTGCATTGAGGTGACATTGATAAAAATGTTTCATAATGACTCTAAAAGTCATACTCTATAAGCAATTTCAATCAAACTCTCATATTTATTTAGTTACAATACAAGAAGTTCCGTTGGTACTAATGATAGATTTAAAACGACCTTAACAAATTTCCGACATTTCCATGATTTTCGTCAGTACAATTTCATGCCGCTTTAGCGGTTGTTCTGGATTATGCTCCTATAACCTATAACTTTAAGCGTGCAGACTAACCTTTGTTGTATCGGATGTTGGGTGAGGTGAATTGATCGGACCTGGATGGTATTGGAATGATAGATGATGCATGCCGGCTTCTTTATAACAAGCTACACGATGTTTTTGATTTAGCAGTGCCTAAAACTGTGAGAGATTCTACGAATCATCGTTGGCCTGCTTGGTTCACGAAGGAGGTAAAGAATTGTATTCGCATGAAGGAGAATATGCGCGCTAGGCACAAGCGTACTGGTTCGCTGTATTGCCTGAATGAATTTAAACGCTACAGACGTCTATCGAAACATCTCATTACCGATGCATATAATGCGTACAGCTTGGAGGAGGTTGAGGATGCGTTGAAGCGTACAAAGAATACTCTTATTGCTGGAGTTGATGGGATACCGAGCTTTTTACTGAAGGACTGTGCTTCGATTCTGGCCTACTTCTACCTTTCCGTTGTTATGGAAAGAGTCATACGTCTGTCCAATTTTGAAGAAGGGCAACTGTGCTGAGATTGTGAATTACGGACCTATATCGCTGCTGTGTGGTTTCTCGAAGACTTTTGAAAGCGTTCTTTTCAAGCACATCTTATATTATTTAAACAAGTATATAAGTCCAACACGGATTTGTTTGTGGTTGATCGACTGTCACCAATCTGACATGCTTCGCCCAATTTGTTGCTGATGTAATCGACGCTAGAGGGCAGGCAGATGCTGTGTATCTCGACTTTCGGAAGGCGTTTGATCAGCTGGATCATTTTATCTTATTAAAAAAGCTGAGTAACTTTGGATTAAGTGCCTCTCTGTTGTCGTTAATGAAATCTTACTTTTTAGGTCGGCAGCAGTTTGTTAATTACGGCGGCTTCACTTCCTCCAATTTCAGGGGTTCCCCAGGGATCCTCATAGACTAGCCAGTGCATTGAGGTGACATTGATAAAAATGTTTCATAATGACTATAAAAGAAAAAAAAAAGTTTAAACCCCAAACATTCTAGTCTTAGTTCTAGTTTTACACTATCATTAGAATTAACACAAGACCTAGAACTAGAATCATTCGGGTTTAGCCGTCTTTAGAGACGTGCGGCTAAACCCGAATGTTTCTAGTTCTAGGTCTAATGTTAGTTCTAGTGACAGTGGTAAGTAGCGCTAGTTAACATAATACATTACTATGTTGCATATTTTTATTGCACTATAACTAGAACTAACACTAGACCTAGAACTAGAATCATTCGGGTTTAGCCGTCTTTAGAGACGTGCGACTAAACCCGAATGTTTCTAGTTCTAGGTCTAATGTTAGTTCTAGTGACAGTGGTAAGTAGCGCTAGTTAGCATAATATATCACTATGTTGCATATTTTTATTGCACTATAACTAGGACTAACACTAGACCGACAACTAGAAACGTTCGGGTTTAGCCCCACGTCTTTAAAGACGGCTAAACCCGAACGTTTCTAGTTCTCGGTCTAGTGTTAGTTCTACTTTTACATTAGCACTAGCATTAGAACTAACACAAGGCCTAAAACTAGAATCATTCGGGTTTAGCCGTCTGTAAAGACGTGGGGCTAAATAATCGTTTAAATTCGGTTAAATTCGATTAGATTTAAAAAAATATGCGCAAGCGTACTTTTTACAAAGACCATACCATAACCTATAAAGCTAAACAACCGGTTTTATATGTATTTAATTATTTAATCTCTTCCGTTTTCCCATTTTCCTCCAGTTCTTTACCAAAATAATAGTTTAATAAAATCATAAATTAAGAGTTCAAAGCAAAATGTGCGACATGAATTATTTTACCAGCGATGCCAATAAAATCATAACTATAATATTTGGTATGTATTTGAAATGATACTATTTCGTTATCAATTCCGAGTATAAATAATGGTAAACTTTGTCCTAGTTAAATCACCTGAAGATATGGATATCAAGAAGGAAAGGTGTAAGCCAAAGATGACACACCAAATATTTCAAAAAGAGAGCATTTTTGGTTATAATGGGTTGAAAGTTAAATTATTTTATTCATGTTATACGTATCATTGTTATGTTGAAATCTCTTACCTTGATAAGTGGGATGATACTTATTGGGGATTGAAAGCTGATAATATAATAGATTGTTTAAGCCCTTGGTTGAGGGAGGCTATGATTCTAAATAAGGCTGATTTTATAAATATCTTAAAGAATTATGAGAGAAGCCTAAAATATGGAGTATCTCTTGAAGAATTCGATCACCTGGTATTACCTGATCGAAACATTTTGGGTTCTATTCGAATTTGTGATATAAAAGACAAAGAGTTTGTTAAACTACACCAGAGATTTGAAAGTTTAATTATAATGTACATTGATGCTGCTAACTTTATTGATATGACTGATAATAACTGGAAAGTTATTTATTTATATGAGAAAAAATTCGTCAAACCAAACGTCATTCGTTATACCCCCATAGGTTTTGCCACTATTTATATATTTGATACAAAAAAAATAGGAAGAATCAGTCAATTTTTTATTACACCTCTGTACCAAGGACAAGGTTTAGGTTTCATATTTTTAAGAACCATCTCCCAATATCTTCGAAGCAATGCTTTAGACATAAAAAAAATTTCTGTTGAATCTCCCAACAAATTATTTACGTATTTAAGAGACAAAGTTGATGTCTCAAATTGTCTTGACTTACCAGTATTCACTATCAACGAAATTAGAGGCGGCTTAGCAAGTGATGCATACAAAAGAATCTGCTCCAATTTCAAACTATGCAAAAAACAAGCCAAAAGGATTTACGAAATCCTACGTGCTTATTACTGCGATCTTGGAATCGACGATTACGAAGAATTTAAATCCAATTTCATCAAAGATCGGAAAATTGAAATTTTAGACTTACGAATTTACCCTAAAAGAGAAAGAGACTACCAGCTAAAATTATTTGAATCTAATATAGCTATCCAAAATGCTAATCTCAATAAAGTCTTTGAGAACTTTATGAGAAGTATTCAACATATTTTGTTATATCTTAAAACTAGAATTTAAGAGATTTAAAATTTAGTAATTTCGTTCATGTTTTTTTCACTTAAATTTGTTATCATACTTTTCATATATATTTTTTGGTAAATAAAATTAATACATTCATTAAATAAATTTGATTTTATTTAAATCAATATTTAGTTAATTAATAACATTTTTAATTTTTCAAATTTTAATGATAATTACACTTCCACCTCGAGACGCATTACTAAGGTGAATTGTGTGATAAATAATAATAATAATAATTTGTTTAATCACCTGCCTACAAATAGTAGATGTGACAAGTTCAAACCACATACAATATATAATACACAATATTCAACAAAGAAAGAGAGAAATTAAATTATGAAGTATGACCTATGCTAGTTGACTAGGACTAAAACTAAAATTAAATGACAAGTATTCCTGGCGGTCGTAAAACTCCCTTTCTACAAGCATCATTTTTACTTTATGTTTAAATGAGCTAAGCGTATCAGCTTTTTTAATTGCAGATGGCAAATTATTATAGAGCTTTGGGAAATCATACCGTGGACTCTTTTCAAAGAAAGCCGTCTTATGATGACCCAAGCACACCAAACTATCAGATCTAGTTTCGTAATTATGTTTCATGACAGGGTATCTATCGACATGCTCCCGCACATGAACAACTGATTTATATATATATACTTTTAAGAGTAAGAAGCAAATTGTCCTTGAATGTATCTCTACACGAATCTCTGCAGTTTAGATCGAAGATTAATCTTATAATGCGCTTCTGTGCTACAAAGGCACGCCGCCACTCCGTCGATCTTCCCCACCATAATATATTGTATGAGAGATGCGAATAACAGAGAGCATAATACGCATCTAATAATCCCGATAGCGGGAGGCATCCCTTCAACTTCAGAATTGCATAAAAGGACAAGTTCAATTTCGAAACCAGATGATCAACATGTTTGTCAAAACTTAGCTGCTCGTCTAGATAAACACCCAAAAACTTGCAGCTATTTGATAGAATGATATCATCGGCTTGCGGAAATATTGTTTTCTTTAAGTTTTACTGGAATATTGATCAACACATAACTAAAACCGCTGATATCTAACAATTTGGGATTTCTTGTGTTGTCACTATTAAACTGTCAATGTTTAGTTGAAACTGCTTATAGATTACTTTTATCTGATTCAATATGAACAATTTTTGTTAATATCGTTTCAATCCATTGGTTACAGTTTTTAAGTTATAATCAATTATTTTAACCAATACCCCACATCATGACATTTTGGAGCTTTTTGTATTGTCACTAAATAAATGTGAAAGTTTGATTGAAATTGCTTATAGATTATGTCTTTTAGACTCATTATGAAACATTTTTAGCAATGTCACCTCAATGCACCGACTGGTCTATGAGTATTGATCAATACTTATAACTAAAACAGCTGATTTTTACGACTTTAGTATTTCTTGTGTTGTCACTATTAAACTGTCAATGTTTAGTTGAAACTGCTTACAGATTACTTTTATCTGATTCAATATGAGCAATTTTTGTTCATATCATTTCAATCCATCGGTTACAGTTTTTGAGTTATAATCAATTATTTATAAGAAGTATATTCTTATTTAGCCGCACGTCTCTCAAGACGGCTAAACCCGAATGATTCTAGTTCTAGGTCTTGTGTTGGTTCTAGTGATAGTGCTAGTGTAAAACTAGAACTAACACTAGA